AAATGTTTTTTAAATAAAATTTCAACTCTAATAATAATAATAATAGTTCCAACAGTATTATTTTGTTGTTTATCCTTTTTTATTCCCACTTCACTAGAATACGTAAGGTCCACTACCCACTCGGGCCTAACATGATCTGCCCGGCTTGTATATACATAAAACTGAATTCATTAATAATAAACCGGATATTATCAGTAGAGTTAGAATTTTTATGCATAAGTGATGCTTTAAATATGTCACGTTTTTCCCAAAAATATGTCAAATATATGCTTCGTTTGTACCATTTATGCATTTTTGACTAATTTTACCTATAAAGGGTAGCAGTACCAGAAAAATCAACATAACTAACATCCGAATATAAATTTATGCAAAATGCTTCGTTTTCCAAAATTAGTTTTAGAAGCTTTTTATGCACACGTATTGTAACTCACTGTAGGATTTTCAAGGTAAATTTAAGGGACACTTTTGTCCTATCCCAAGACAAATAACACGCGGGCGGCAGGTTCAGTGGCAAATTCTCACCATTTTACAGGTGGTATTTATTAAAAATATACCTAGAATAGTGGATTGATAGAATGTGTAATGAAGTAGAAGAAATGCTTGATGTAGGTAAAATCGATGAGGCTTATAATATAAATAAGGAATTTTAAAGATGTAGGGTACAGTAGTAATAATATAATAAACGAGGCAGGGGTCATTTTCATAGAAAATGAGGAAAAGTTAGATAGGTGGAATGAATATTTACAGAACCTATACGCAGGCCCTGAATTAGGAGATATACTAGATAAGGAAGATAGTGTAGAGATAGATGAGCGTCAGTCCTAAGACTGGTTGGACACCCGCCTCCACTCTTTCCTATCTTGAACTAATCTTCGCATTTCTCTAAAACTAGAGCAATCCATATCCTAAAGTATTTGCTAACAGTAGTCTAATCTAGGTATACCTCTACCCCTCCTGTTTCTGCCTCTAATATGTATCTGACTAGACTTTCATGCCTGAGGTGTCCTACCAACCTATCTTGCCTATTTCTTATTGACTTCCATAGAGTCCTTTGTTCTCCTTTTCTCTCTAGTACCTCTTCATTTCTAACTTTTTCTATCCTCGATATCCTCATCATTCGCGTGTAACACCACATTCCCAACGCTTCTAACCTTTACTTTTCCGCAGCGGCCACTGTTCATGTTTAGCACCCGTACAGCGCCGCGCTCCAAACATACACCTTTAAGAATCCTTTTCAAATTTCTAAATTAACCGTTTGGGAGTATAGAAGTAACTTACTATTATTGAAGGCGATTCGACCCTGCGCTATCTTCTGCTTTATATCCCTACCTCTACCATCCGTCCTGATTTATCTGACTTCCTAGACAAAAAAGATGCTTTTGACATAATTCCCACTGTAATTATTGGCATTGTCCTCATTCTTAAGACGCAATTCCACATTTTCCTATCCTCAGCTAACCTTCGCATTTATCTTCGGTTATTCATGGGTCTATAGTAACATTTATTACTTCTTTTGGTCGTAATTCAATGGAAACAAGTTAATTATTTCAAACGAGACAAATCTACAAAACATTAAATGACTAAGAATCACTATTGCAATTTTATTTAACACAGCAACAATTTATCCTCATTAACTTGAAGTAATCTGTAGTGATACAAACAAATACAGTAATTTCATATTAATTTTTAAAAATTGTTAAATATTAACCGCTATTAAAAATTCCTTAGTGTTTCATATGCTTAATCTGGTAAATAGGGACAGCAAATGTAACAGACATAACTTTTTTATACATCGTTTGTAGGTGCCACCACCCGCATAATTTCGTCTTCACCTGGGTGAACTGCTATTATTCGACTCAGAGGCCAGTGTCTNAATTAGTTTTTCCGATTATTTTTTCTGATTGATGAACATGACAAATAAAAAACCATCTTTATTTTTAATCATACATAAAAAAATCAATTGAAATGATATTATTTATCGTGAAGCATTGCACATCTCCGCATCGAAAAAAAAGCCGATAATTCTTTTTCAGCCGATTTGAAAAAAAGGAAGATCTCAATTCGATTGAATATTTTTTTTGGGGTACGTACGGAACTGAATTTAACGATTTCTTTTTTTACTGGATAGATTACATCTCGAGGGAGGGGGCATTTAATTTGAAAAAACTACTCCATCTGTAAGGGTTAGAAAATTGAGAAAATAAAGGAGAAACATACGTTAAAAAATGATTTTCCGACTCCATTATTGTTAGGCACAATTTAAACTTAAAAACTTTAAAAAATGATAGAGGTATATTTTTATCGTAAATGTCTATGTTTTTTTCAGTTTTATTGTCATGAGGAAAAGTTTTTAAATGTTATCGAATTTTTAGGTTAGAAACTCATAAGTTGCCCAATTTCAAAATGCGAAACACCGCATTTTTATACTTTTTGGCTCATTTTCGGGACCTAAAATCAGAAATATTTGCCACATAAATCTTCTAGAAACTCAATAATTGAGGAAAAAATACTATTGGCATCGAATTTTAAATCATTATATCCAATTTACTCAACAAAAAAATTAATTCAATGTTGTCGATTTCACGTCTTCACTACTCAACTGATCATCATGAAATTTTGTAAACATATTGTGAGGAGTACAGAAAAGGACATAAGGTACCTTTGAGAAGAGAAAATTCTATTTTCGATGGAGAGAAATATTAGTTTTGTAGGGTTGTCGATGATCTTCAACACGTGTCTCACGGTGACCACCCATTAGAATATTACAGAAATTACTTCGATTCAAATTTTAACAATTTGGGCAATTGCGTTATTGAATATGTAGTCATCACTTAAAATAACGGCATCTATGTAGCACTTTTGATTATACCGGAAGTTGATACCAACTTCGTTATTTTAAGTGGAACACCCTGTATATTATGACGGTTTTGAATTCTACTTTTAGGTAGATTTTTATAATACTTATCTACTTTTGAAATTTACCCTTTTCGAGATATAATATTCTTTTTAAAGTATCACAGAGCAGAACGTTGCGAAAAACATGCCTATTTTACAGTAAGAATGAAAGCTGGAGCAGCAATACTTTTGGACCCTCATGCTTCCCGTCCATACTTTCAAAGTTGGTTAATTGCATACAGGATCTTTTCTTATTTCTATTAAATTGTATAACAAACATTCTGTACGTTTATTTCATTGTTAATAATAATATTTACTTACACAAGTAACTATTTATATATTTACATGTAGAGAGGGATTTCTTCTCGCGGCTTTCTTTTAGGGCTTTTTTCTCAGGGGATTTTTTTCCGGTTACCATTCACCATATGATAAGAACAGTTTCAATCTAATATGATCATATCATATTAGTTCATGAGATTTACTTAGTATTTTTTATATGTTATGAGTGAATAGCTAAGATAAGATGTAATTGACTTTTTTCGTTATCATTAAGTTTCTATAAGGTTTTAAACTTGTTTTTGAGATGTACGTGACAAATAAAGTCAATTTTAAATTTAGGACTAAAAATGAGTCAAAGAGTTATACTGACTCTGACGTTTAAAAAATCTACAAAACTACAACAAAAGATATACTTTAAACGTTGACCAAGTAATGGTCTCATAACCTAAAAATTCGATAAACAATTTCTACAAAACTATACTATGCATATAGCAGTTTTTTAAAGTTAATGTGTGCCTAAAAGTACATTAAATAGTCGTAAAAAAAAACGTTTTAACGCATATCTCTCTCAATCAAGCATCTGCATGTTAATTTAGCAAGGAGTATATTTGCTGGAACATTTTGACTTCTCGTCCTTGTAAAGGCTTTAATTTATCTCCTACATCCGACATACAAAAGGCCTAGGTATAATAAACTCCATTATGTAACTTTAATTACCGATTACTGTAATCAAAATGAAGGATGTAGCTATGACTAAATGTAATCAAAATTAGAAGTAATCATGATGCACTAAGTTATTAAAGTTTTCATAGACAGTGTTCTCTTGCCACTGAGAGGACGGAAGATACTTTCAATTCTGCCTCATCATAAAATAAACGACAGCGCACAACTCATTAAACAAATAACCTTATCGCAGAAAGGCCAAAACGAGATGTGTTATTAAAAATGTATACCTAATCAAATCTGCAGGACTACCCGGCAAGGTGACTACCCTTTAGAATATTTCGGAAACTACTTCGATTCGAATTTTGAAAATTTGAATAATAGAACTATTGAGTGTGCTCTTTTCAATTAAAATAACGACATCTATGTAGCACTTCCGGTTATACCGGAATTTGACACCGACCTTTTTACGATGTTATTTTAAATGGAATACCCTGTATATTATGACTGTTATGAATTCCATATATGATTTTAGGTAGACTATTATAATGCTCTTCTACTTCTGTTATGAAAATCTGTATACTAACGTTTTTGAGTATGCTGAACACAAATTTGAAGTTGGACTTTCGAAATTAGACTCATACAAAATGGCTGATAAGCTGCAAAAAAATGTAAAATTAATTAAAAAATGACGTAAATTCCATGTTAATTAGTGGAAAAAGTACCATGTTATTTGCTGTGCGAAGACTCATCTTACATTAGATTTTTAAAATAAACAATAGCGGACACAAAAAGGCCAGATAAAACATAAAAAGTCACAAAATAATTTTCTTTTATGCGTTTGTTGAACTATTTCTTACAATTAATTTTATAATTTTTCAGTAGAATTTCATGAAAACAAAAACACACACAAAAACTAAAATTTCCACAAAAACTAATTATGAACGGCCTGAGATGGAGGGGTTTTAGTCGGTAGGTCCCAGGACTTCTTTCTCGGGAATCCGACACTACCCAGTCGTATGGACCGCTGGGTGTCTTTTGAAGATTTCCCCTCTTCCATGAAAACATAAAAAAAACATTATCATGGTTTTGCACTTTTGCACCTTTGAGTCAAACTCTTCGTATTTTAAATATACCTATTTGTTAAGTTTTAATCCTACTTAATCCTACACCAAGAAAAGTTGGGTGTCGTTAACTAAATTCGAGTTTTGGCATTCATACGTATTCTAACAATACTTTTGAAAAAATGTCGATAATTTCATCAATGCTATTGACTTTTGGTTCTGCTATTAAGAGCGCCTACACGGAGAAGTCTAAATTTTTATGACAACGCAAAAATTAGCATTTTCGATTGTAAATGACCGAATTTAGGTAACTTTTAATAATCTTAATTTTGACATATTTCTTTAAAAATTATTTCAAGTTTCTCAATTATTATTTTTTTTATTTCGAAAAGTCGAGTACAAGATTCATCAGCAGCGTGCATTAGAATTGTAGTGTATTTATTTTTAAAAATTTGCAACGGTTAATACACTAGTTTTTATCGAATAATACCGAGAAATTCAATTTTTTATAAACATGTATAAATAAAAGTAAAAAAAAATTATCAAGTGCGGTTATGCGTCGATGATCAGTACGTGACTGTGGCGGAAAACAACTATCTAACAAACAAACAATACATAACAACCGGTTTGGAGCACCAGTTTCCTACAAGGATGCATCCCTCACCGTTGGCCGTTGTGGACAATTACTACTGGAAGACACAGAATTTATTGATGAAATGGAAAACTAAAGGTGCAGGGATATTTGGTTGATTAATATCGAGAAATTCAATTTTTTATAAACATGTATAAATAAAAGTAAAAAAAAATATCAAGTGCGGTTTTGCGTCGATGATCAATACGTGACGTGACAATTGGACAAAATTAAAACATTTGGATTTCCAAAAAAAATATATATATATAAACCAGTCGTTTCGAATTAACGAAAAAAATCTTTAGGAGTAGATCACAAATCCAATCACAAGAACCAAGAAACACAAAAATTTAATAACTAACCGATTACACGGAGAGTCGACTGAGACATACTAAACATAAGTGATCCAACAAACCCATACAACACAAAAAAATTGAACAAGTCACACCTTCGTTCCAAGTTTCCACGTTATACCTACCCGAAATTAATTATACTTCGCGTTCCGCACTGTATTTTCGAATAAAAATGGCTACTTGTCTTTTCGATAATATTACTATATTTTACTGATTTACGCTGATAAGCGTTTAATTAACAGATAAAATCCACTTATTTTAATAGATTTAAATATTTTTTAAACGTCTGAAAGTTACCATTTCTATATCGTATATAAGCCATAAATAAAAAACAGATAAATACTTGTAATCTCAAAAAATGAAAATTTAAGTGCACCAGCAAGTCACTCGTGTGACAAGATAAGCGAAAAGCAAATAGTATAAAAGCTACAGAGCTGTTGAAGAGCTCACGATGAAGATGAAGTTCACAATGCTAGAATTTGTTGCTGTTTTATTGTTAGCTGGAGTAATATCTAGCTACGGCCAACAGGTAAGAAAAATACTAGTTTTTCGAATTAAAAGTGCATTTAAAGTGCTCTCAGGTCTTTTATTTGTATGTATGTATTTTAATCGCTTGTGAGTGCGAGGAGAATTAATTTTTTTATTTAAGTAAATTTTTTCCCAATTCGATAATTAATCTAACCTAACATAGCTTAAGCCTTTAACGCGTGGCATTTAACCGATGGAATAATTTTATATTGTACCTATATTTTAATATAGTATGTATGTCTATACAATCAACTAAACAGATCAAGTAAAAATTTAATGGTCATGGCATGTTATTTCAATGTATGCAAGCAAATATGTATATATTTGCAGGTAGACAGTTTGTCCCGCCTACTTTTTTCCCTTTTGTTTTCTACCACCTGAAATACTTTAAAATTGCCAATTTTTTATTATACATACATTCTATTTTAAAGAAGACTTCTTAATATGGAGAATAAAATCAGTTGTTAGTGTCACCTTTTAATTAGACGTTTTAATAGTCTACTAATTGGCGATATTAAATTATGGGAGCAGATACATGAGTATGATTTGATTGCAAGACAATTTTTTTTCGTTTTTTATTTCATAATGTCTTTTAAACTGCTTAACAAAGGACAAAGAAACAAAAGTTTAATGACCATAACATACAACTGAGCTGATCCAAAATCACCAAAATCATCTGAGAAAATGTGTAATTCCGTCCCCTTCTTTGCAATGCACCAAAATTGGTAATTTTTAATTTAACATTCTGATTAAAACAAAACATGGATGATATCGAGAGTAGCATCACCTGCTAGAATAAGGTGTTTAAATAAACTCAATTATGGGAGGAAATACGTAGATCTATTTGATTGCAAGACAAAACCGATCTCTTTTAAGTCTTCATTTTCCAACCGTTCTTTAATCTCTTTTAGAATTTTTAATAAAGTGGATGAAATTTCCACAAAGCTTTAGTATTATAAATTGATTGAGTTTATGGCATTTCACAACTTTACCTGAGGTTAACCACATATATACAGAACGAATATATTAATTAGGTAATTGAGAGCTTTATTAAGGAAACAGTGCAAACTTGTACAAGAAGCCACTTAGTAAGGCCTGCACATGTAGTCATGTAGACCAGTCGCATGACAGTGCAAACAAACAATAATAAATAGCATGTATACAACTTATTTCCAGCGGTTAGAGATATACTCCTTCCCTTTATCTGGATGCGCCGTGACGAGATTCCAAATTCAATCATACTTTATCTCGTTCAAACAGTCGCTGTCTTGCTTACGGCTAGAGTGTGTTCTTTTTATCAGCGCAGCTTTCTTCAAGCTCACAACTCTAACAACAAACGAAACAAGGTCTACTGTTATATTCCTGAAAAACAGTGCACCTATTATTAGGTTTGGATTATTGTCAATAATTTTAAGTTATTTTATGTTTCCTTGCTTAGTCAGGATGTCCCTTATCGATACGTATGTTATCTAAAAATTAGGGATCTACAATGTGTATGTATATGCTTATTAGATTACTCACGTTGAAATTATGTATTAATAATTTTGAATTGTTTTATATTTCCTTACGTGTTCAGGATGTTTATTTTCTTTATCATATTTCGGAAATCAAGCACGTATGTGTTTACTGTTCACATTGTTCCAAATACGAAGTTTCCGCTTAATATTCAATTTGTCTCCTTTATTTTCTTCATCATCCACAGACACCTCTATGACTATTGTGTCATCTAGAATAAACAGAAAATCCGTTTACCTGCTAGTATCTCCTCCTTTCATTTGAACGAAGGGTGTCAGCATTTTTATTTAATACAGTCACAGTTCACTTAGCTGGCATAGAGTCTATTTCATTATTCTTGTATGAACTCCAGTTGGGTATACGCACACGAAATCAAATAAAGTAAACTTACACTTCGTTTACTTTCTCTAGAGATGTGCCCCTTCCAAGGTCTTGGATGCGCGCTGGCAAAATCGTAGGTAGGAAGAAATGAGCTCATTATGCTCTCGACCATTGTTCATTAAACATACTTTTTCGTACAGTACCTGCCAAAAGTTTTGTTCAATCATGAATAGTAGTGTAAGCGTTGAAGCCTTTAATATGTCTTCAAATATTTTCACTAGTAACTAGTGCTAATAACAGCACATTCGAGCAATGTAATATTAATGGATAAAATGGTCAGTGTTCCTAAGAAATTGTGGCTTTAGTAATGCAATGGAATCCTTTAGGTATTTCCTGATCAAATAACAACAGAAAAATGTCTAGTCTTTTACGAAGAGAAAATCATTTTACTTGTTCCTCTTACTTATTGCTTAATTTTCCAGGCCAATTACATAACTACCGGGTTTGGAGCACCAGTATCGTACAAGGATGCATCCCTCACCGTTGGCCGTCGTGGACAATTACTACTGGAAGACACAGAATTTATTGATGAAATGGCACACTTTGACCGAGAGCGAATACCGGAAAGAAACGGTCATGCTAAAGGTGCAGGGGCATTTGGTTACTTTGAGGTCACCAACGATATCACTCGGTATAGTGCAGCATCTCTTTTTGAGAGAGTTGGAAAAAGAACGAGAATCGCGGTTCGGTTTTCCACAACTGGAGCCGAAAACGGTTCGACCGATACCCGACGAGATATGCGTGGTTTTGCCATTAAATTTTACACAGACGAAGGAAATTGGGACCTTGTAGGACTTCATTTTCCAGTATTCCTTATTCGGGACCCTATTCTACTGCCCAGTATGGTCCATGCTCAAAGGAGAAATCCAATAACCTTTCTTCGTGATGCTAACCAGCAATGGGACTTTATAACTTTAAGACCGGAATCAATTCATATGGCACTTTATATGTTCTCTGACAAGGGAACTCCTGATGGATACAGATATATGGACGGTTTTGGAGTTAATACATTCAAACTGATTAATGCCACCGGCCATCACATTTATTGCAAATTTAACTACTTAACCGATCAGGGTTTAAGAAACTTAACTGCAGCAAGAGCACGACAACTTGAGGCCCAAGATCCCGATTATGCCATAAGAGATTTATACAATGCAATTGCATCTAACAATTATCCATCATGGACATTGTACATTCAAGTAATGACCGACGAGCAAGCAAGAAATAGTAGCTTTAATCCATTCGACGACACGAAGGTATGGCCAGAAGATATATATCCTTTGATTCAAGTAGGCCGATTTACATTGAATGAGAATCCTACGAATTATTTCCAAGATGTCGAGCAAATGGCGCTGTCCCCATCAAATATGGTGCCTGGAATCAAACCTTCGCCCGACAGAATGTTACAGGGAAGACTGTTTGCTTATCCAGATACTCAGAGATACAGATTAGGACCCAACTTTCTTCAAATTCCTGTCAACTGTCCGCTGAACGTCCGAAATTATCAGCGAGACGGTGCAATGTCTTACAATAATCAGGGAAATAATACGGTTTATCATCCGAATTCAGTAGATTCGTTAAACGTCAGTCAAAGGGCAGCAGCACTTAATCCACCGTATTCCGTTAGTGGTGACGTCTACAGGTACGACGATGGAAGCGAAGATAATTTTTCTCAAGCCACAAACTTTTACCTAAATGTATTAGATGAAGCAGGCAGAGTTAGTTTAGTTGAAAATTTGGTAAGAGCAGTTTCCCCCGCAGCGGCGACATACCAACAACGAGCACTTGATCTGTTCGGCAACGTTTCTGCAGATTTGAGGGCCCGAGTTCAAGCAGGTCTAGGGTTGTAATAGTAATCTTCATTTACGTGATTGTTACAGAAATCTAAAGAACGGTCTCGTAGTTCTCTCATTCGTTTTAAATGTTTTTCAGAACATATACAAATGTAACTGTAGTTAAATCATATATGATTTGTAAAATAATTACAATTAGATTTGTAAGTTATTTGATTTCTGGATTTGTATTAATTTGTAACACATTTGAAAAATAAAACATATCTACATATAATCGATTATTACCGCTAATACAAATGAAACTACAAACTAATGTTACATGTCGTAAAACTACCATTTACGATTATTTGCAAAAACGCCTTACATACGAGGGTGGATTGATAAGTTTCCGGCCTAACCAAGAGATGACGCCACTAGGCCTACCTTGAGGTGACATTCTATAGTACCATCCTTGGATAGCTTGTAGCTATAGTTTCAGCCCGATCTCCTTGCTAGTGTAGGTTTGACAGCACGCTGAACAAGACGCCTCTGTGGTTTTCGTAAAAATGGAAAAGCAGGAAAATCGTGCTGTCATCAAATACTTTTATTTGAAGGGGTTAACGCCGAAGGAAATTAAAAAAGAGATGGACTCAACACTGGGGACATCCTCCCCGTCATATTCAACCGTTAAGCAGTGGGTTTCCGAGTTTAAAAAGGGTCGTGTGAGCACCTCTGATGGGCCTCGCTCAGGACGCCCCGTTGAGGTCACAACTCCAGATATGATCGAAAAAATTCATCAAATAGTGCTGGGAGACCGCAGATTGAAAGTGCGTGAGATAGCTGAGACCTGTAAGATGTCATATGAACGTGTGCAACATATTTTGCACCAACATTTGCATATGGAAAAGCTCTGTGCAAGATGGGTGCCGCGTTTGCTAACAGTCGACCAAAAATTGATTCGAAAAAACATTTCTACCGCAAATTTGTCATTGTATAAGCGTAATCCAAGCGAATTTTTGCGTCGATTCGTAACCGTTGACGAAACGTGGGTCCACCACTACACTCCTGAAACCAAAGAACAGTCTAAACAGTGGATTGGACCAGGGGAACCAACTCCAAAGAAGGCAAAAACAATTTTTTCGGCGAACAAGGTTATGGCTACTGTTTTTTGGGATGCAAGAGGTATTATATACATTGATTACCTTGCAAAGGGTAATACTATCACTGGTCAATACTACGCAGACTTATTGCAACGTTTGAGCCACGAGGTGAAAATTAAACGACCTCATCTGGCGAAGAAAAAAATCTTGTTTCATCACGATAACGCACCAGCGCACACGTCAATCGTTGCGACGGCTAAAATCAACGATCTAAAGTTTGAATTGATGCCGCACCCTCCTTACTCTCCAGACCTAGCCCCGAGTGACTATTTTCTGTTCCCTAATCTCAAAAAATGGCTTGGCGGTAAGAGATTTGCGGACAATGAAGAAGTAATCGAAGCTGTAAATGGTTATTTTGAGGAGCTTGACGAATCAGTCTATAGAGATGGCATTAATAGACTGGAACACCGCTATGAGAAATGTATCAGCCTTGGAGGAGATTATGTTGAGAAATAAAAAAAAAAAATTTTTAAAAACCTTGTTTTTCTTGGTCAGGCCGGAAACTTATCAATCCACCCTCGTATATCAACCACGACGCCCATCTCATACTCATGAAAACTACTCTGAACTACTTCTGAGCAAGTATTCAGCGATGAGTTGCCCTTCAGTTGTCTTAGCGACGTTGTCCTTATTCATTTTTAAAACGGGCTCATGGGGCAGGCGATGACTTTGATTATTGATTTCGACATGTGGTACCACCTCAATGACCCCTTTTGAGAGTCACTGCTTCAAAAAGTTCAAGTAATAATTAAGAATATTCTGTTTTTTAATATTTTTAGTAACTTTATCAAGTCGCTGTCGTGCGATATCGTAAATAGCAGGCAAAGGTGAATCACCATGTGTTTATCCCGCTAGTCAATTTTACCGTTTTCAAAATTAACTTTTTTGTCTGCTCATCTTCTTCTGACTTATTCAGCTTTTCAGTTAGATCAGTGATTCCAGTTGCATCGAGTCGCCATAGATCCAATAGATCGCCGTCTTGCGTTATGCATTGATGTAATCATTAGCGCAGTATTAACTCTATTTCGTCTTCGTAGTAATTTACCTAGAACTGTCCAGCCGAGATGTGTTTCTAAAGCTATTAAACTATTCTTTAATTCTACGTTCCGATGCGGTATCCATTATAACGTGAACAATTTTTTCCTTAAACTCCCAATAGGCAACGACGCGTAAGGTTTGTAAGCATAACTTAGGCGCTCCGACTAGAGTTGTTAAGTTATTCTCTATTTGTTTATTGTTATTCTCTACTGGCAAAGTTTCTGCATTATTGTCATTTTCTTTGTTTTCCATATAGACGCACTTCAAAAGAATACTACTTCTACCACACTAACTACAATTCAATTTCGCTTTACAATCTCCTGAGATATAATTACGACGTAAGCATATAAAACAGCAATTATCTTTTTTCATGTTTGTACGATGCATATGTAAATCTAATTTCCGCGTTTTAAAACAATTCATGCTATTATCTCTTCACGTTTACAAAATATATAGAAAAGTTTCACCTTATTGTCTTTATTAGATGTAAGCAGCATCCTTCCAGTTGCTGGAGGAGATACAACGCCAAACTATTTGACGTGGAGCCTCCGCCACTGCCGTCGGACAGAGTCGTAAAGTGGGGGTGATCAAACTTACTGGGGTTGATCTGCTTTTTTTTCGTTTCCGTTTAGTTTTTCCTCTGAAGGGGGATAGTATCGGATTTGCTGAAGCGCCTACCGACTAAAATTGATTAAAACCCTCCCTTCCTTTACGGCGATGACATCGCCCTCATAAATTCTACCATTTTCTGCTCCTAAATTAGTAACTAAGATGAAAACTCCATTAACGAGGTCCAGTCGGAAGCAATTATGTTCTCCCGTTGAAAACCTCAAACAACTACCCCATCAAATGGAGCAACTCCGTTACTTACCTCGGCGTCGTCTTCGACAGAACACTGACATGGCGAAATCACATCTTTGATCCTATAACCCCTTTTGAATGATTAAACAACAAACAACACACATCCATGAGATTTAGACCATTGTTTAACATTCGGCAGGGCGCCGGATGGATTCCGGGTCCGCCTACATTGACCCAAGTTTTTCTGTGGTTTCCTCGGATCACTTAAGCGAACGCTAGGGCAGTAATATTCCACAGATAATCCTTCATTCTCTTCTGTCTTCATTTCGTCCGTATCTATTTTCCCACCCTAACCACCACCCAGCCATTCTTACTATTCTTGAAAGGAGGCTGAATAGGGTCTTTCGCCCTACCTTCCAGCGTAGTTCGGAGGGGCTGCCCACTCACCAGCATTGGTGGATGGATGAATGAAGTGAATCAGTGCCTTAGGAAAAAATTAGTAATATGTGGTCGATTAGTTGCAAAATTATTCCACTATAAATGAATAATTAAATTAGCCGGGTTAGATGTACTGCAATTTAATCGGAAGCAGTGCCTCAAGAGAGGGGCGAAATACCCTCCATGGGCTCTATAGATATTTTTAAAATCAATCAAGTAAAACATGTTGCATTTTTATCTTTTGTCTAATCAGTCATCTTTCAGTTCAAGGTACGATTTTTATTCGTTACCTGTCAATGTAGTTCGTTATCTGTAATCTGTAATTGTTAAATGTGTTTGTTTAAGTGTTTTGTTTGCGAGATATTGTTCCTTAGGATACGTTAAATAAATAATTAAAAAGCACGAGTGGAGTTATTGATCACCACGCTTTTATGTAATTCAAAAAAGTGACTCTTCAATTAATTGAGTTCGTCAAACTACGCTGATAACAATATATCTAATTAAAAAATACAAAAGAGACACCCAAATTATCATCAAATTGATTATTGTGGACACGTATTTCGCTTACTTCTTAATGGCACATCATCATAATTTTTTTTAGTTGTGGAGTAACTTTGAAACCTCTGCAATATCATAAATGAGTATACAGGGTGTGACATTTATAACCAATATTTTGACCACAGGTTCCTAGTGACATTTGAAACATAAAACAATTTTGATGTCGGCCCTGGCTAGCTACAAATAGTTCCAGTGTGCCGATGATAACGGAAAGCGAAGATAAAAAATCCTTATCGAAACAAAATTTGTGAACCGATTTGTAAAACCAAAATCATTGTTTATTAACAACTACTTGACCAAAGCGGTTTTGGAACAAATAATTTTATTCTTGTAAGATAAACGACTTCAAATATTCAAAATAACTTTCACTTTATTACTTTTATTAATAGGTCACTTAAAAATTAGCTGAAAAAGATACCAAAACAAAACTGAATCTTACCCAGGGTTTCTAAAAGTTTTGAGAAAAGTATTTAGATGAAGAATATCTGCAAATTATCCAAAACTTTTGATTAGAATTGTTGCTAAATTGCGTCTAAAGACACCCGAAATTGATTTTTCGAGGATAACAAAAAAACTATAAATTTTATAGGAAATATTTAAATGTAAAATTTTCAGGATTTACAATTAACAAAACGATTTGTGGTCGATATCAGTTATTCGTGGTCACATCTTATTAAGGCTTCGTCACTCCGAAAACCCCGCTTCCAGTTATTTTATTACTAGTCTATTTATGACGCCAAATATTATGACAATATACCTATTTTGCTTCTTATAAATAGATTTCATTTTACTATTTCATTTGTGATTATCTTATTTTTTTGGTATTAAATAAATATTTTACTTAGAATGTCGATGTCATTGAAAACTAAAGTAGAAACAAGTTTCGAAATATCCTTTGCAAATTATATCAAAGTATGTTCTGTCAATACAAATGCGCATGACTTTGTTGTCTTTTTTAATTCGGTCCAGATATTCGTCGACAGGGCAACAAGGGCGCCTGAGCGCGCATCAGCCTGATCAATGCACCACCTTTCTAGAGGCGAATAAGATTTAGTTGTCCCGGTAATTCCACCGTCTAATAAATCGTGATAAGTAACTTTTAGATCTCCGGCTGATGAAATTTATAAAAAACTGTGTTTACTTTGAAATAAATGTTTGTCTCCCAACAACAAAGCTTTAAAATCCCATTTTCCGTAATGTCCTCAGTTTTTTAAAAATACTATTGAATAATAAAAAAAAATAATTAAAGGCTGTATCATTTCTTGGCATAAACGTAATTAGAGCCAATAGGTACATTATAAAAAAATGGTTGATACAAAAGACGAAAATGCTTATTCGGATGATTATCTTCCTATACCAATCCAAATATTTTTGTGGAAACAAACTAGGTACAAACATGTTGAAGATTTTAAATTGCTTTTTATATAAAAGTGGATGTTTTCAGCCCCTTCGTAAAACCCAAACTTGGTAAACTGCATGAGGCTTCATGTATGGTAAGTTTGCTGTTATAAAAACAAAATAAGAATCGATGAAATTTACATGAATTTTAATGTTTCTATTGTTTGTAAGTGTCTATATGATAAAAACCTGCAAATATTTAAAACTTAAGTGTTTGTGAATATTACTTTTACTTAATAGAAGCCACCGAAGCAAAAAATTTTTGTAAAAGTGTATTTAATCCATTGTGTATGTGTCAATAGGTACTTAATATTTAAAAACAATAGCAATCTTCTCTAATAGTTGGTAGAAAAGTGAATTATAATTATTAGGGATTATTTTATAAATGTCACAAAACAGTAAAAACAATTTCTTCCTATCATTATTTTCCATTTTATCTACACAATGAGGTTAAAATGGAATTCAATATCTCGGTCTTTAAAATAGGAGAGGATTTGCCTTTATGAGTACTGACAGCAGACAAAGTTTTCGTCAATGTAATCTGTTCTACAATAAACTTCGTCCATCCGCTTATGGAAAGTCAAAAATTCAATTCATCCATCTTCGGCTTTTGTTGCTACACTAAATTTATGTTTTTGTCTCCAATAGCTTCAATGACATTGTTTTTATGAGTACTCGTTACGGTTCCTTCATAAATATAAGTCGTTGAAAGTATTTCTTTAAAGTACTTCATTTAATCCTAAAAATATAATATTAAGTAAATATATGTGCCCCTTCCAAGGTCTTGGATGCGCGCTGGCAAAATCGTAGGTAGGAAGAAATGAGCTCATTATGCTCTCGACCATTGTTCATTAAACATACTTTTTCGTACAGTACCTGCCAAAAGTTTTGTTCAATCATGAATAGTAGTGTAAGCGTTGAAGCCTTTAATATGTCTTCAAATATTNTTTTAGGAACTAAAGAAAGCTTGTAAGGTATCTATCATCATTTCTATAATAATGTTGCCATAGTTAATATAACTATTTTTAATTATTTAAGCTTTTCGAAAAAATCATTGTTCAAAATATATTATCCGGATTAGAACCGAATTTAAACTTATCGTTAAAAGCTCTACCCAGATGGAAACTCATAAAGGCTGCACTACCTCATGTAATGCATTCTACAGCTGCTATGCTTCATAACAGGTAGGATTTATATAAATGGCAAATAAAATAATTCTTTTATTTTCGTTTATAAAAATTTACAAGCCTTTATTTATTATGCTTGCTCCATCATTTTATACAATATATACACTACCTCGTATATTGAACCGATTAAATCTAGATCACATACAAGGAATTAGACGTGGATCGAGAGTTTCGTCAGAGAGAGCGGTGGTAAAACTTTTGAGGTTATTACACTCATTGTCCTCGCCTATGTGGAATTAGATTTTTCAGAGATTTTTATTTGATAAAAGATATACGACTTGACTTAACGTACTCGTACATTATTATACATGCCTATTATTACATAATATCCATAAATTATTATTTAGGCCACACGTACAAAGTTAGTAAGTACATCTAAATTGTTTATTTAAAACTGTATGTAAATACACCTAGTTGGTTAATAGGTCAATTAGCGACCGTTTAAATAGTGAAATCAATAATAATAATCAATGATGGTTGAGAGTCAAGAAGTTGAGTGTTGAATCCAAAATCACGTAAATGCAGGGTGGTGAGACGGCTTACCGTCTCCATTCACCCTGTAATAGCTCCCTGCCATTTCTACGTTCCTCAATTATCTAATTAGGCTATTGGTATGTTTGGCATGTAGGGCTGGAAGGATTCATTGGTTCAATTTCCATATAAAGCTTTTCCTGACTTCTGACGTTCCCTTTTTTTCGACGATGTGGAAATTATTGATTTCAAAAGGCGTCTAATTATTTGCTTATTGTGCTCTGTGTTGTATAATTATTTGGTCACCAAATCATCGAAACAATGGGAACATAGAACGCGAAGGAGTTAGTAAAAGACTTATATGGAAATTGAACTATTGAACCCTTCCAGCTCTACCTACTAAAACTTGTGACAGTATCTACTCCATATGGTCAACCAAGTGATAATATGGTGTCTTAAAAAATGTTCACGAAGAATAAGAAGCGCCTCCGGTATGGATTTCGTAATCGTCAGGTTTTGGACGATGTTTTATTATTTAAATAAAAGAGTAATTTGCCTGCGCAAAGCAATCTTCGTAGGACGCGTTGGGAACAAGTCATCGAAGAAGACCAAGGGTTGGTTATATTCGGGAATTGTCAAGTGTAAGCGGCACTGGAGTTGGGTTATCCATGTAAATCCTAAACCGGAGGCTACGAGTACTAAGTATTACTAGGACCTGCGATATTCTTCCCAAAATAGAAGATATAAAAGAGGTTTGGTTGGTACTCGAGTTCCGAAAATTCCCTTCGCCATGGTATGTGTAGATGAAGATGATGATGTAGTAAAGTGGAAGAGTCGTTTCATTAATGAATATGGTTGGTCACAAAAGGGGAGGTCAAAATGGTATGATTATTTCATTTCACAACAAGTAAATTCGTTCATTATGTCCGGTGCCTCCACCACGTCATAAAGCGACGAATTTTATATATTTATATCTAATATTGAAAATGGATTATTTTCAGTTTAGAATGACTAGCCAACAATTCAACTATAGTTAATTAGTAACTCAATGGTAATAAAAATCACAGCCTACCTTATTAGATAATTGGGGAACGTAAAAATGACAGAAATATTACAGGGTGAGTGAAGACGTTAAACCGCTTCACCACCCCGTATCTTTGGAATTATGAAATACAACTAACAAAAATTCGTAATTTCTATGTATATAAATTCAAAATGTAAAATAAGTGGTCTGTATTCTGTCGAAATTGCCAGACGCGGATCGCGATTTCGATCTTTTTGGATCTCATCAGCGAGTCGCAGGCAGCTCCGACAGAGCACAAACCAACTTTTACCTGCTGTCTTAACAGTGCGTTTTAGAAAATACTACAAATGGCGCAGTAAACGCCATCTGTAGCACGATGCTACATTTTAGGATTACGTATGTTCCAACAAGGTCCACTTGTGTGAATATCTACTTGCTGAAAACGAATCCCGGCGTAGCCAACCTCAACGTGATAGGCACGTTAGCTTCATCGAATAAAATAATTCGAAGTGGTCTGTATTCTGTCGAAACTGCCAGACGCGGATCGCGATTTCGATCTTTTTGGATCTCATCAGCGCGTCGCAGGCAGTAGATATTCACACAAGTGGACCTTGTTGGAGCATACATAATCCTAAAATGTAGCATCGTGCTACAGATGGCGTTTACTGCGCCATTCGTAGTATTTTCAAAATGTAAAGTTTGTCGTAAATTATCAACTGAAAATTAATCATGTTTAATCTCTATTTAGAAATAAAACAAAACAAGTACAAGATTTTACAGTCGTTCAATTTTATGTTAAAATAATCACTTAATCAAAAACATTATTTTCTGCACTTCATTACATTTAAACTTGACGGCGATTACAAATAAAAGGTTTTGTATGCCATATTTAAAACACAAGTCTCAATTTTAGAATGAAAGATGGAAATATTCAAACCTTAGGAGCTGTAGAAACTAAACTCCTTTATACTTTACACTGGATAATATTGGATGCTGTTGAGGAATGTGCAGATGCTGATTATGAAAAGGGAATATATTACGCATCCCCATTTTATTACCTTTTCTCTATACCTACGATAACGGTACGATTTATACGCTCAGTGCCGAAACTAGGGAAATATATGTAGGCATAATGTTCGAAGGGCGCTCCTGTAGTAATGAAAAAGAAAATGGTCTGAAAGGTTGATATTCAGCTATTTGTGTTTAACACAATTTAAAAGATTACATATCATTTTCAAAGGTGAAACTCGCAAACCTATCTTAAGCTAATCTGCGCATTTCCCTAAAACTAGAACAACCCACATTTTTATGTATTTACGAACAGTAATTTAATCTAGGTCTACCTGTACCCTCCCGCTTCTGCCTCTAATATGTCTCTGACTAGACCTTGGGAAGGTGTCCTACTAACCTATCACGCTTATTTCTTATTGACTTCCATAGAGTTCTCTGTTCTTCTATTCATTCTAATACCTCTTCATTTCTAGCCTTCTCTCTCCACGGTATCCTCATCATTCGTCTGTAACACCACCTTTCGAACGCTTCTAACCTTTTCTTTTCCGCAGCAGCCACCGTCCATGTCTCGTAAGTGTACAACGTTGCGCTCCAAACATACATCTTTAGCAACCTTTTTCGAATTTCTAAATTAATCGTAGAAAAAGAAAAATATTTTAAATGCTTTCAAAATAGTTGTAATTTCTGGTGAAACGTGGGCTCTCTGGAGCGGTGGTAAATTCAAATTATGTGATAAAAGGACATAACCTTGCTAATAGATTTAATAACGAAAATCTAGCCTAAAATCCTCCATACCTTCCTGCTCTATTAACACTATTGTCACATGGTCATCTTCAAATATTCTCAATATTGAGCTTATCACATGAGTTTTTTTCTCATAATAGTCGCTAAACTGCAGCCAGTTGTTTCAGTCCTCAATACGATTATTAAACCGATTAGTCAAAAGTAAATGACCATTCTCCTCGTAATAAACCAGGTTCACAGTATTTTGCAAAGTCTGTACAAAAGTTACTTTGAAAAATGTCTGCTATTATAATCACTGGATAGCTAACTGGAATGATGAAATTATCTCTTTTTTCAAAGCAATGGAAGAACTATTGTATTCCCAGTTTTTGGGATTATTACGTACAATTAATGACACACATCTGAAGTTGCTTCTTTCTTCCCACAATAACTACATATGGTGACTTGATCATTGCATAAAACTTCTGCCAACTCTTACTATTTCTTCCATCTTTGTGGTACCTATCTATCTGATTTAATATTTGTGGCATTTTTTCGTTTAAGATGTTACCTGCTGCTATTGGTATTAATTATTACATCTGATCTTACACGAGCGTGAGTTACTGACAGTTATGATCCCGATCTCCATTTTATACACATCCAAGCAAAATCAAAAGACAAAAGGTATTTGCTGACGATATTTCGATACCAAAAGCACTATTAGGCGCCAGAATAGTCTGCCTATAACAAGTTTCGGCACTGCATACGTTTCCAATAACATTTTTATATTACCATTAATTTCTCAAATTAATTTTAGCTCTTCATCTACTTATTTGCTCCTATTTGTAATAATTTAAAAGAGTCAGACTTCCAAACGTTTAGATTAGAAAATGGCCTTAAAATTTGGCAAGGCCTTTGGGAGTACAGACATCCCGACGTTCCTTGTTTTACAGCACAGTGCAAACCAAAATTGAAGGGATTTATGGGAAGGAGCACTAGGAGACCCTACACACATGGCGACGTGTTTTTGGGGAGTAAGTTGAAGAAACTGCTAGATTGAAATTAACTGTAAGGTACACTTCTTTTACTTTCTTTTCAAGAAAAACCCAATGCTGCAAAGCAAGATGCTCAAGTTCCTTCCGCTTGTCATCAGACCAGTGATGATACCCGAGGTCACGAGAGCCCCCCCAGTCGAGTATTTAGCCAGTCGTCTTCAGATCTTCAAAGTATCACTTGTTCTTCTACATCTGTTACCAGTGGAAATACAGTTACTGTTACAGCGACAATCACTACTAAACCTTTGGATGACGATGTAAGAATCCATTAATATTAATATTTAACTTACAATTAGCTAAGAAACAACAAATCAACTCCTCCAATTTCTGAAAGTTGTAATCTGAAAATAATTTGATCTCAATGAGCTCCTGAATGTTATTATAGTTATAAATGTTTTGCCGGATATTAGTGTGGATTTCAAGTATATATCAAAATACAAAAGTACAGAGAACTAGTTTGGATATCAGTCAAATAGTATCAAAGTTAAGCAAAGTTCGCTTTGGCCACTTCTTGGATAGGTGACAAACTCTACACTGGGAAAAATAATTGAATATTACATTGTATTATTACTTTTCAAAGTGTAAACTCACGTTAAAGAGAATGAAAATTTACGTCTAACAGCAAATACACAATAATGTTAAGTTTCCGCGAATTCAGGTGAATTTACTATAAATGTCACAAATGCATATAAATAATTAATTTCATGTCGAAATCTTAGACCGAAATATACGTTGAATGAAATGTTACACCTAAATTATAACAAATCCTACATTGAAGGGTAAAATTTACGCTCTCTTCTGTGGACTGAGCATAGGAATATTGCGCAGAAGTTAGAAATGAAGCCAGAATGAATAGCAGTTATGTGAGTGTTGTTTTCTCCAGGTTTTCTTGAAAAAATTAGTAGGTATTCCACATTTTTTATTATAACGGAATCTATCTATATTTATCTACATACAATATCAGTATAATGTACAAGTTTATTGAGTGGAACTCTTATAGAGATATTCTATGAAGACCCAGAAAGACCTAGAAAATATAGAAATTCTAAATCTAAAACGGCCGTTATTTGGTTTTTGAAAAACGTTGTCAAATTATGTCCTTAGTGATTTCACACAAAAATGAAGGAACATTAGAATTTCTTTGCAAAATGTTAACATTAGAAAGCTAAACATCCATTACAGTAACATTTCTCTGAACCAGGAATGGATAGTGAAATTAGGGATTACAGTGGTTGTTATCCTCAACTGGAAAGAACATTGTAACAGCATAATATCCAGACTTTTGTTGATATGCTTTGTCGCGGTTTTAACCAAAATTTTTGGTAGCAATCTTCTTTGGCAAAGTTTTCATGCATTCGAGGGGATAGAAGCGTTGAAGAACTCTCAGCAGTCGTCATCTGGTCGGGTCCACATTGACCAGGCGTACCTTCTTCTCTTTACCTATAAAGTTCTATTACGCGACCGATTAATCAGTCTATACGCTTATCCGTATCGTTACTGATCAGAACAATTTCTTCCAATTTTATACCATGACATGGTTTTGATTCTGAAAATATCTGTAATTATCCCAAATATTTGGCCCAAAACCGTTTGGGCGTCATCGCGCAATTTCTGTTTATAGCGTAATTTTCGACAAAATAACGATCTGTCGTAATCCAGAATACCGTATTTTATCTGTTCAGGCGAAAACATTGAGGGAGTGAGCGGAACCAGATCTCTGAGATCGTTTGATACATAAATGAGAGGTCGTTTATTTATGATTATTTCGCAATCGCAAATAATGGTAAATAGGTCTTCATAATTTAAACAGGCATATCCCAAAATTTTTCGTAACAGTTCTTTAAGAATACGAACCAAGCGCTTCCAGGATCCACCCCACTAAGGCGTACTGCGAGGGTAATACGTTGCGCAACCGAACTTCGGTTGATGACTTTCTAGGCCAATTGTGATTTTCCTGTCCCTACGAAGTTGATGCCATATCAATATTCTACTTCGAAAACTGCATCGTTACCTTCTTATTTAGCTTTTTTTAATATTAAATCAAATGACAGATATTAAATGATTGTGATATTACTATAATATTATAAATGCTTTGATAGGTCTATCACTACATCAATATAATTTTACCTATGGTAAAGATGTATTATACGCCAGGACAAACAAAATTTCTTGTGTTAAGTTTTCTAATTCTATTAGAAATTAGAAGTTTTTGTTATGTTCTTGGAACAAGCTCTTTGTTACTTTCTTAAAATAAGTCTTATTCTCTTTATCAACCGGGTACACTTGGATCTCTACCTACTTAGACCCTAATGCGTATATTATGTTATCACTGAAAATTTGTATCTCATGCAAAAATTGGAATGTAAAATTTTCTACTACTTATTTTTAAATAAATAATTTCATGAATTATCAATACATCTTGTGTTCACTTCAACATAATTTTGAAAAAATAAAAAATAAAGGAAAACTAAACCGAAGTTCTAAAGTCGTACCGGTGCGAATTACGATTTGTAAGAAGGTACTATATGAGCGCATGAACGAGTTTACAGACATCGAATTTTGACAATTTTATAAGAAGGAATAATACTACTGATCGTTCAGTTGTCGAAAATCGATCGCTTAGAAAGGGGTATAAAATTTTTTCTTCACGTATTAGAAATAATCTCTAAACTGTCTGTTTTCATCATATGTTGCCATAATTTTCATATTAAAAAGTATATGCCTACCATGCACATATTACATTATCGTGGGTCAAAACAAAACAATATAGCATAATACTTCTGTTTTTAACCAGTAGATGGTGGTAGATGTTCTTAAATGTATTGTCAAACAATTTTAGTGTTCCTACTAAAATAAATCTATTGAAACAGAGTTTTCAATTCAGTTTAATACAGATAAATAGTAATTTGTTTCAATATGTATCTGTTTCAAGCATCAACTAACACTATAAGACGCCAAGCCTCCCTCTTACGGAGGCAACAGAGATTATGGCACTTAAATAGTTTAAAAATGTTACTTTACATCTCTCATTATGTCCCAAATTCGGATATGACACCTTAATAATAAGATCAAAGTCTAGAGGCTCAGAAATAATGGAGCTTGTAACCATGAAACACTAAATTAGGGTCTTTTGTATTTATTAAGACGACAATGCTGTATACCTATACACAATTTGTAGTGTGCAGAGACCTGAAAGATATTCCACATTATTCAAAAATTATGATGATGTGCTAGTTGTTATTCCCAAATCTAGAAAATATAGTCTCCTTTGTTACTGTGTATGTTGGGTGCCTACATAGGGGCCACATGACCTTGACGTTGGCGGGGAGGCTTAACCGAAGGCAACAACAAGTTGTTGTGCCGACGGGACAAAGAAGTGGCCCACCACCATCCAGATTGGTGGTCTGGATGGATTTCTATACACCACAAGTAGTATGACGAGGGTTAAAACAGATTATATACCCCAGGCGGGCAGTGGCAGTAGCTAAAATCCTGCCGCCGATTCCGACCGGGAGAAAAACCCGGTGGTCGGCGCCGGCCTCATGGATTCTGGGAGAGACCAAACAACCGTCCATGCAGCGCAACGGGACACGGAGAGGGACCACTTGCTCTCCGCGTCACGTATGACGACAAGTGAGAATGGAAGATTGGGAGGACCGTCTGGCTCTGAGAGTAACCTGAGCTTGAAGAGCGTGGGTAACGGCTATAGGAGCTGCGACAGTGTCAGCACGGACCCCCTTGGAACGGCGGAACTAGACCCGAGGAAGGAAGGGGACAGGGCCTTCGCGTACCTCCAAGAGACCCTTCAGGAACTGGAGGACTTCGTAAAGGATAAGAACAATATCCACAAGAAGGTGAAGGAGCTGGTGTACAGGGCCATGCGACGCGTGGAGAGATGTGAAACATTCCGGAAGATGGAAGCACACCAAGGGCGGGGGACGTCGGAGACATCGCGGGATGGTAGTACTCAGACTGCCGTGGTCTCTTATCACCAATCCCAGACCCAGAAGAAGCAACGGGGAAAACCAGGACCTCGAAAGAACCCTGAACCGAGGAAGAGGCCAAGGAGGGATCCGACAGAGCCTGTGCAGGTGAGAAGCGTCGAGGAGTCGGAGTCTGCCCCTACCCAGACCATGAAAGAGGCGCACCAGCATAGCGACATGGACTAGGCAACAGTCGTTAGCAGAGGTAAGGCAAAGAAGAAAAAGAACGGAGATGACGTGCCGCAGTCGCAACAGCGACAAACGAGGAGCAAGCAGGAAGGGAGGAAGGGCCCCACACGCACCGACAAGTCGAGCCCGCCCGCCCTGATGCCATTGTCATCAAGACACTCGATAAGGAGGCTCTGCCATATGACAAGCTCATAGCAAGCCTGAGGCGCACATCCGATGAGGGACTCAGGGCGATCGGCAGCGAGGTGACGAGGACGAGACGCTCGTTCCGAACTGGAGAGCTGCTTCTGAAGCTGAAGGGAGTCGGTGGAAGGAACCCGGAGCTGCTGAAGATAATCGCAACTAGGCTTGAAGGTAAGGCCGAAGTCCAGCTGCTGACCAACAGGGAGGCCCTAATAATCAAGGATCTGGATGAGGTCACCACCTAGGAAGAGGTGGCCGAGGCCGTTACGGCAGTGGTCGGACCGGGTTTGTTGGCACCCACAGACGTGAAGCTGAGGGCAGCATACGGCGGAAGCCAGGCAGCCTACCTATCGCTCTCGAGGAAAGCAACGAGGAATCTGCTGCACCACGGAAAGCACAGAATAGGCTGGGTGAACTGCAGGGTTTGACCGCGTGAAACCCCTTTGAGATGTTACCGCTGTCTGGAATGTGGACACATTGCAAGGGACTGTAAGAGTGTGATTGACAGGTCTAAAGTATGCTTTCGATGCGGGTTGGAAGGACACAAGCTCAAGGATTGCACGGAGGAGAAGGGAAAAGTAACCCAGAAGGAAAAGACATCTGATAGTCATGGCTAGGGTCCTCCAGATCAATTTCAACCACTGCCAGGCTGCCCAAGATCTTCTACCGCAGCTGATCAAGGAAGAGAGAGTCGACATCGCCATCATCAGCAAACAATACCGGGACCTCGGTGGACCGGTGACGCCACTGGGAGAGCGGTCATCTAGGTATATGGAAACCTCCACATATCAGTACGAATGCCCCTACCCCTCCCCAAGTTTACCTGGATTGAAGTGGCCGAAGTACGCTTATATAGCTGCTACTTACTGCCCAGCGACAACATCGAGGAGTTTTTTGCCACGCTGGAAATTATCGTTGACAGCGCCCGAACGTCTCAACTGCCGGTCGTAAACGGCGGATACTTCAACGCCTTGGCCGTGGAGTGGGGCAGCGTGGCGACAAACGGCCGTGGAAAAGCCCTTCTGGATGCCTTCGCGCCGCTGGAATTGGAGATTGCCAACGAGGGAACAACTTCAACCTATAGTAAGGCGGCTAGGACATCTATAATCGATGTGACCTTCGTCGACCCAAGAGTGATGGGGCAAGGCCTAAACTGGAAGCTGTGCGAGCGATATAAGGGGAGCGACCATCAGGCCCTCGTATACAATCTGCAGTTGACCAGGAAGCGGACAGGAACAGCGGGGACAGAAAGAATGAGAAGGAAATGGTCACCAAAACTTTTGACCCAGACCAGTTCCTCTCCTCCTTGAATGGTGTCACCCTTGAGGGAACCTCGGAAGACAAGGCTCAAGTTCTCATCCATAGGCTCGAAGCTGCCTGCGACGCATCAATGGAGAAGAAGGGGCGACCACATGGCCGACTACCAACACTTTGGTGGAACGAGGACATAGCGCAAATAAGACGCGAATGTCACAGAGCGCGTAGACTCAGCCAGAGAACCAGGAATACACCCAATTACGAGGATTTAGACAAGGCCTACGAAGCAAGGAGGAACGAGCTCAAAAAGGCTATCAAGCTGGCGAAACGTAAGTGTTGGAAGGACCTCTGCGAGGAGGTGGACCGCGATCCCTGGGGCAAGCCATATAAGGCGGTTATGACCAGGATCAAACCGGCAGGCGCAACATCGCCAACCTGCCCGATTTTCCTGGGCAAGGTGGTCCAACATCTCTTTCCGAAGCACCAGCTGCGAGCGACTGACACAGGACTTGCGACGTCTAGTGAGGAGGATAATCTGGACCCTCCAGCCATAAGTATAGAGGAACTATAGAGAGCTATCCAAAGAATCTCGGTAAGAAAAGCACCGGGCCCTGATGGGATACCTGGCCTTGTAATGAAGACGTCAGTGCGAAATGCTCTCGAGTTGTTCAAAACAACATTTGACGCGTGCCTTAGAGAGGGCTGTTTCCCGACTAGGTGGAAAGTGCAGAGGCTCGTCCTACTTCCGAAGGGCAACAAGCCGCCGGAGAACCCGTCTTCCTACCGGCCACTTTGTATACTAGACATAGCCGGAAAGGTGTTGGAACGAAACGGATAGTCGCGGACAGGCTGGAGTCAGCTGTGGAACAGGCAGGTGGCCTATCGGACTGCCAATTCGGATTCCGGAGAGGCCGTTCGACCATAGACGCCATAGAACGGGTCGTCGCTAGGGCCTCGGACGCCGTCAGCGGTACTAGACAGACGAAGGAAATGTGTGCTATTATTACACTGGACATCAGGAATGCCTTCAACTCAGCTAGGTGGGATAGCATCATGCGATCTTTAGAGGAGTTTCGTGTGCCGCTGTTCCTGCGGAGAGTGGTTTCTAGCTACCTGACGGACCGGTTCCTGCACTACGACACGGACGGCGGCATGCTCTGGAACATAGTTTATGACGGCCTGCTGAGACTGAAACTTCCGAAAGGGGTAACAATGGTGGCGTTCGTGGACGACGTGGCGCTGATAGTGGTCGCCAAGAACACCGGTGAGGTGCAATAATAGGGCAGTAAAAGTAGCTGCTGATTGGCTGGTAAGCCATGGCCTTGCACTTGCAGCTAAGAAAACGGAAGCGTTGCTCGTCGCCCGCACAAAGAGGAGGACGTACGCAAGCTTCATGGTGGAGGGAATGGAAATTGTCTCGAACGACACCATCAGGTACTTGGGAGTCATTCTGGACGCGCGGCTCTCTTTCAGACAGCATCTCCTGAACGCAGGCTTGAAGGCGTTGAGGGTGGCCAGGGCGCTGGCGGGCATCATGCCCAACATTGGTGGACCGAAGCAACCGCGGCTGTTGCTCCTTGCCTCGGTGGTCAGTTCCGTAGTCTTTTACAGGGGTTTCCCATCTGGTCCCACGCACTGCAGAGGAACTTGTCCTACGGTACCACATGTCAGCGGGCCGTACCGTGTCAGACATAGCAATTTCGGTGGTGTCAGGTACCCCACCAGTGGATATTCTGGCCGCTAAAATAGCGGAAGCACACAGAAGAAGACGACGCATAGCGGAACATGAAGACGACCAAAGCGGACCCGACCGTGGAGGATTGACAAGAAGAAGTATGGAATCATGCCAGAGACGATGGGATGTATCCGAAAATGGTCGCTGGACCCATCGGATCATACCAGACATTGACAAGTGGGTAAACAGAAGACACGGCTATGTCACCTTCCAGCTTACACAGGTACTGACTGGCCATGGATGTTTTCGAAGTTTCCTGAGGCGAATAGGAGTGTACGAGAGCCCGGAGTGTCCGGCGTGCAGTGGTGTCGTTGAGGATGTGGAACACGTCCTCTACCGCGGTCCTCGCTTCATCGACGAGAGGAGGCGCTTTGAGGCAGTATGGGGGGGCCCGTATACCCCAGAGGGTTTCGGGGCTTGCCTTCTTGACTCAAAGGAAAGATGGGATGCAGTGGTGACCTTCGCTACTGCGGTTGTGGACAAGCTGAACGACATTAGAAGATCAGAAGAAAGAAGAAGCAGACCAGCGGTAATCGGAGCAGTGCTACATACAACATAGTTATATGAGGAGCTGGCCATAACTGGCAGAGCTGTTCCGTCGAAGTAATGCCTGGCGGCGGATTCCGACGGGGGACAGATGAGACAAGGGGGTGGTTTTTAGTCGGTAAGAATCGCGACAGTACCTTGATTGGAAAGGTCTCTTATGCAAGATTTTCCCCTCCTTTCAGCAAAAAAAACAAAATGTGACAGTATGTTGGCTTACCTTTATGTCACACTTCCCCCTCCTTAAACCGATCGTCCCGTTCTATGATGTTGCCTATATAGGAAGAAAGCCGGTCAAGATGGACGTTCTCCATTCTTGCTACAGGTCTCCTCTGAATTCAATATACAACGTCACTAATGCGTCTAGTAATAGTGTATGGACCGTCCCAAGCTTGTTGTTGTCACTTTCAAAACACAGCTTTGTATGCACAGCTTTATGGATGACTTCTAGTTGTTCTTGTAGTTTGCGCACGTATTTATTTGTAGACGTAAGCAAATAGTACGTTTGGTGGTCCTTGACATAATTTATATCGGTCTCCTCAGTAGCCTTAAATCGTTTTACCATCACGTCAGACTGTGGATGTCGGAAATTTCCTGCTCCAGTCTTCCAATGAAATTGCTCGTGTACCTCCCCTAGAGACATGAATTGATTCACTTCTGAAATTGTTTTCCTCATACAGGTGGAAATGTTCGAGGACTTTAACCACAGCTAGTAGCTTTTGACGGGCGACACAATAATTTTATTCTTCTGCTGAGAGTGTTTTGTATGTACCCGATGATGTTTTCCTTTCCGTCTTGTACTTTAAACAACACATCACCAAGTGTAACACTACTCGCATCAGTATCAACGTTGAAGAGTTTGCTAAACTGGGGGTGTGTCAGTATCAGAGTCCAAAGAGTGTACTCTTCAATTTGTCCAAAAATTTTTGGCATTTACGTCATTCCAACTTCTGTAGATCTGTTCGGGCTATATTGGAAATTCCTCGTATAAATGTTCGGTAATAGAAGAAAATTTCGTGACGATCTTTTGATATGGGCTAACTTCGTACGGCATCTGTTTTGTTATGGTCGGTCATAATTCCTTCCGGTATTATTATATGGCTTAGGTATTTCACTTCTCGTTTAAGCAGGATGCATTTCTTGGGAAATAGCTTCAATATTGCGGCTAACAGTTTCTTAAAGACTTCAGTCACGTTTTGGAGGTGGTAGTCGAAGATCCTTCCTAGTTTAATGATGTCGTCCTAGTAAATCAAACAGATGGATGGATTTCAAAATCCAAAAGGCGTCACATTAAAAGCAGTTTTCTATTTATCCTCCATCTTTATAACGGTATAAGTGACGCCCAACAACTTTGAGATGATTCAATCACCCCTTGTTTATGCAGGTCCTATATAAGGTTATTGACTTCCTCTTGCTTTCTCCTCAGGAACTCTTGTAAGTGTTTGTATGATGGGACTTGCTGTTCCAGTGTTGATGCGGTGGTATGTTAATTTGGTCCTACCGAAGTCTTGATCTGAGAGGGCGAAGACGTGTTGAAAGCGGTTAAGAAGCTTTTCTAATTGCTTGACTTGGTGCTTGTGGAGATGGTTATTAGACCGTTTTACGAGTTTTTTTTAATTTAAAGTTATAGGAAGTGGTGTCGGTTTCGTTTGAGCTCCATCTTCCCAATTACAGTGGTAAATTTCATCTACTGATTCAAATTCTCCCAACTCTCTCACAAATATGTTACAATTAAATAATAACTTTGATAGAGGGTAGCAATGTCTAGGAGCAAGGTAAAATTGAAAATATATTTGAAAAAGTTATACATTTTCGCAAATGGGGATATTATAACCTGAAAATATAGTATTTAAAATTTAATCAGTCTAAAGAAGGTACATCATGGTTCTAAACCAGCCGTAATTTTATAGAATCAATAAAAACAGTGAGAATACCAACGATTATTATTATTTTTAATTATATTTAACATGAATTTGAATCTTCATCAAGTATAGACCGAATCAATTAATCTCATATGATCTTAGACGCCTGCTTAATGAACTATAACTATTCATAATTGTATGTATGTAACTAATGATCAGATTTTGTCTAGCGTTACCAGGGAACATTAGTGACCCTTGCATAATCTTTTTGGACTTACTTAATGTACCTAGGTTTAAATAAGTAACTAAATAAAATAAATATTTACTTACGTTAAATAATAAAATTTTCTAATCTAAATTGTAAACGCAACTAATCGTTTAAGGTTGGCTGGGTATCTTCCCCGAAAGATACCGTATTTCCAGAAACAATTCCCGAAGAAAGTTCTAGTACAGAGGAAGAACATGTAGTTATTTTTCGACTACCTTCATTGCATGAATCGGACAGCTTCTTGAGAGACCCTCTTGTCTACACAGTGAGTACTATTTTTGGTGACATTTCTTTTATGAAAGTAATTTTCTGATTTAGGCAGAAACGAGCTTGTTTCAATTAACGATGACCAAAAATGGTACGGGTAAGGGTGGAATTAAAGTTGAACAGGTCACTGCTGTGTCTGCATCTGACGTCAAACAAGTTAAACCGGCACAGTCTGTTCAAAAAATCAGGTTAGAATATTTTGTTTTTTAATTATAAAATGGAAACAAAGAAAAAAATTAAGAATTAATGTTTTTTCAATGCTAATAATAGCGACTCACGGGCAGTGGCAGCGCGTCCTTAAATGATGCTGATGTACTGCAAAAATTTGCTCCCCTATTTCTTGAAAGTTACTTCTAAATAGGGCTAAGTCAATTTTAAGGTTTTTATGATATAATTATTTATTACTACTTGTATTTATCTCAACTTGTTACCACTCTTAATGATGTGCCGGCTGAAGTATTAATAATCTGTTTTGCAACATGGTAAAATGGCCGCCACGTAAATATATGTTTATTCTACTAGTATGGACTAAATGTAGGGTGTTGTATGTGACTGAATAAAGTAAATTCGAATATTGTAAAAAATTCTTGTTTGTATAGAACAACCGCTTTGCTATAACTTCATTTACTTTCTCTAGCGATGTGTCCCTTCGTCTTGGATGAGTAGGGAGAAAAAAACTCATTATACTCTCGACTCTTGTTCATCAAACATACTTTTTCATACAGTACTTACTTGCCAAAAGTTTTGTTCAATCATGAATAGTAGTGCGAGTCGAAAACAAGCGTTGAAGCGTTTTCAGTAGTAATCGGTACCAATAACAGTACATTTGAACAATGCAATTTTAGTGGATAAAATGGTCAATTTTTCCGTGGAGTACTGTACGGATTATACGCTCCTCATCGGTTAAGAATTTGGCCGAGAGTTGTCTCCTTTCTTTTCTGGCCTAGTGCTGCCCTTTTCTACTTTGTGCCGGTCATACTAAAGGTCACATCGCTACAGAAACTAAACGAACTATGACAGAGCGACGAGCTCAGTTCACCATCTAAACAGCTACTGCATATGCATTGATTTGCACGTAGAACCATAAATCGAAAGCACATAGTAACCTTTTACAGTCTAGGGAACTAACAACTTTTAAAAACACAAAATAAGTATGACTATCTTACGTCCATTGTAACATGCTGACGTCCTTTGAGGTTGTGTTTTCTAATTTTTTTTAGTTAAGTGCGTTAAATTTGTCACTCCTGTCCACTTTCCAAACTTTATTACCACCAAAAAGTAAACAAAAACAAACAAAATAATGCACCTTTTTCTCTATTAAGTTGCCACTTCTATGCGTTCCTGCGACTAACATCTGCAGTGTAAAAAGTGTAAAATTATTTTTTTTTCGATATGATTATTTCAAAAAATCTTTAGGGATGGACTAAAATGTAAATTAAAACCATTGTCACAGTCACATTTCATAAATACTTATAGAAATTAATAATGTAAATATACTTATTTATACAACGAAGTCGCGATATCATCGATGGCTGATGATATTACAAGCCCATCGGATATTTTTAAGATAAGCAGCAGTTTTATTAACATACCTGAAAATAACGATTGTTGAACGTCATTTATTTAAGAATTAACAACTGTTCTAATGATGACCTTTTATATTATTTTAGTTTTCTAATTGTGATTTCATTGTTTTAAGATAGGATTATGACATTATTAGATTTATAAACTGAGGAAAGAAGCATGTAACAAAACTAAACATCAATAGCGACACACCGCAAAGTTAATGTTATGTTTTGTTTATTTTTATTCTAGATTTCTTTGTATACTCCAATTACTTTCCAATTAATAAATAATTAGCAAAACGTTCGTTCCTTGACCGTCTAGAGAAAAGTTAAAAAATTGTGTGCTTTTCGGGCAGAGACGAAGCTAATATAGATGCTGAGTGTAGTAGCCACATTATACGTACATTGTCAGCGTAAAGCATCAAGGCAGCTAGCCAACAAAAGGAGATTTTGCACAAGCATATCAACGTAGGGTGTGGTGTAGACACATTTATTTATTGGACTAACAAGTTTAAGTAATTAGATTGCAAAAATTCAAACACAAGTACTTAAATATCTAATTTTCTGGTAGTGCTGCAACTGCCCATAAGGAATTCTTACATATACAATGAATATCTCATATAAGCAATTTTATTAAAAATTGTCCGAATTCAGATTCTCTCAATTTTCTTTTAGTTCGATTGATCGAGATTCACTGGCGAGTAGTAAACCATCTGCAGATGGTGGTCCGGAGCATCATAGTTCCGGATCCCACAAGAGTCTTTCCTACCGTTTAATGGATTTATCAACGGCTACCTTCCTAGATGTAGCAGTATTAAGGTGCCTCTTTATTGCAAATTGGCATGAAGAAGGAATCTACTGGGCTCTACACTTTACCTACAACAGGTACCAACCCATTTTCGTCCTTACTTCTTGTTTTTTTATGTACTATCTTTTCAGATTAAGGGATATTCACGAAGAGCATATAAATCAACAACAACCGCGAAGACGTAGCAATTCATTGCCGATACCGAAGATCGAAGTCTCTTTTTATCAAAGTCCAGAACCCAAAAGATGTGATTCAAGTTTGGAAGTGCCAGAAATAAAAGATTTGTCACATTTGACCGGTAATGATGAAATTTGCTTCTGAAAAATTTTATCCCTATCAATTGTTAAAATGTTTAGAATCTCCATATTATAAAGAACAATCCGATGAGAAACTTCCCGTCAGAACGTCAAGCGAAAAAGTCAAAAAGAAAACTAAAATGACGGATTTGCGTACATTTGTGGAAACTAAGATCTTATCAAAGTCAGAAAAAGCTCTTGAAAAGATTGGCCAAGAAGAGCCCAAATCTCTTGGTGAACGAGTTGTGAGTTCAACACAAATAGCTGATGTATGTTGTCCTTTTCTCTTTCTCCTTTTCTGGCGTTTATTTCTGTTACATGTCTATTTTATATGCGATGGATTGTGATTCGATCTCAATGTTCTACTTTTCTGTATATTTCGTGTATCTATTATCTGTTATGTTTATTCTTTTTTATTAATAATCAATTAAGTTACTATGCTATTTTCTTTAGGAATACCATCACAGTTTAGACACCACAAATGGAAGGTTGGGAGAATACACAGGACTATCGACAAGTAATCTGGTGAAAGGAAAGAGCATGCCTAGCCTAAGGTACAGTAGCACCATTCCTTCTTATTGGTGGCAAATATTATTTATTGATGTTTTTTGTGTATTCGTCTTTAATTATACTACACGTCTTAGTGAAAAGGGATTGACTTTACTTATCTTTTTCTTTTTCTAGTGTACTAAGGTAAATACAAAAATACGTTATTTGTTATTATTGAGAGATGCTGTTTTGTTATGGATTTAACTGATTAGAAAAAAAATTAAACAAAACTATCTAGATTTCTTTGCCTGACCGAAAACGTTCTATCAACTTTTGCAGTTTATTACTAACTCGTTAACTTATTCTCATACTTTTTTCTTTTCACTTTCCTTTTAGCTGTTTAATAGATGAATTAGCCGCTGGTGGGTAAGTTGTCTTGCCAGCTTAGAAACAATCAAATTACATGTACAAAACCACTATAAATCGAAAGATATAAGAATAAGAATATGATGTATTTAATATTAAATGGAATAAATAAAAGTGATACTAGTACATATAATTTGATCAACAAAAGGCATTTTGTAGCTAGGGTGCTTCGTTTTGATAGAAACTTCAGAGCTTATATAGCGATTAGTCCATACAATAGGTAGTCATAGTGATAATGATGAAGTGATTTCTGATTAAATCTAAATATATATATTACTTTTACAGTTAAGCGTGCCATTATCGTACCATGGCCAATATAATTTCTCAGAAATCGCATCATCATAATAAATAACCATCCAGATACATTAAAAAGTCTGATTACTGCTTGTCATATAACTTGTCCTTCTTTTATCTTCAACACAAGTTCTCTCTATAGATATATAGGTGAAATACACTGGGAAAGAAAAAGATTTTATAAACAGGATGCTTCTGCAAAACGTGGTATCAACCCTATCATAACGGTTACGGAGCACACTCCCGAATCTTCTCCTGACTTCCTCAAACGGCAGGTGATGATTCAAATGACTCCATTTTCTGTTTTATGTCAACACACTTATGTTTATACCAGGGATCCATCGATAGTCACTTAGATGCCCTTAGTTTGGGTACGGCCACGAAACAAGAAGCAGGACATGAAAGAAAATCAAGTCTTTCAAGATCCCAGACCGACTCCAACATTTCATATATAACGGAAGAAATCATTGAAGCACCAGGTTCTTCAAATTACATTACTAACGACGGTTGCATAGACATACAGGTTGTATTAAAGGTAGGTGTCACATCGAATTGTGTTTATCAAACACTTATGAGATGTGTGACAACTTATAGGCTATCCATGCAATAATGGTCAAAGATGGCCAGAACTGTTCCCTCAGGGTTTTAGAAGTATCCTTGAATTTAGTGGAGTTACTTCTTGAAATGGGTGTTCTTAAACAGTGTTTGAGAGATGAGGCTTTGGCAGAACAAAATTATTCAAGCCGCGATTCACTTCCTCGACAGTGCGATAAGAAGTCAAATGAATTTACTTCTGATGCAGAAAAATTAGAGAAGCAGTGTACAACTCACAAAATTACAATGAACATTGTGGTCAGGTAAAATAACTGAGATTTTGTCGTCGCTTCATGAAACGTTAACGTAAAATTTTGCAGAGTCCTAAAACATCTGGGATGCCCTCATGGGTGCGCTGATGGACAAAGAGGTCCAGCAGCTGAATTTTTGCGAACCCAATGCCAGAATTTGCTTTCTAAACTTCAAAGAGCGAGCAACAAGCAGTTCACTAAATTTTTGAAAGATTATGTAAATTACCAACATATGAATGATGTTTTGGATCTGTTTCATTCTTACCTTAGTTTTTGTATTGATCCAAGTTCCTTGCTTTCTCCATCAAGTAAGTTTCGTTTAAATACTGGTCACACTCACCAATTCAATTCTAACCACTCTTCTATTTAATATTTCATTTGTAAATAGGTACATGAGTACTCACTTTTTCAGTGTGTTTTGCTCTCTTGAAGTGAATTCATTTACAAGTGAACTTAACTCGTCCGGATGACGATGTTTTTACAGTCTTTTACTAATTAATCGTTCATTACTTATATTTGTGCTTTTCTGACCTCTCCCCGCCGAACTATGTCTGATGCTGTGGTTAGTGTGGTATGCTTTGCTCTTAGAGACCTGGTCTTGTTATTTGTTTTTTTTGGCAAAAATTAGAGTAGAATAGACAACATGCACAGCTCCAAAGGTGACTGAATACCCGCACTTTGGTTCCGCTGTATATATATCTACATCAGTATTGTGTAATAATGAAAAGTGATCACGAAATTTTTATTTAAAAATTATCAATCGATTTAATCACCATTGGTAGCTGCAAACAAAATCACTTTATTTGGTTATCAGACCAGAAGCGGGGCTCTAACAGGTCTTCAGATATAGTTCCGCAAGGTTATTCTACCAACTTTGACGCAGGCCTTGGAGGTGGTGGTACTAGAGGGGTCGAGAGCAAGGTAGTGGCGAGCATATTTAAAGTGCTTATCACTCGGTTGGCTGTAACTTCTAAAGAACTGAAGGCACCAGAGAACCTGGTACGTTATTCCGTTAAACACAGTCCCAAGCCTCTAAAAGGAAATTCAATTTACAGTCTCAATTCTGTGAAATTCGTCAATTAATAACATATATTAAAGAAGCACATGGAAATACGTTCAAAAGAGTTATGCTAAGCGCTTTGCTTGACACTGCGGATCGTCCCAATAAGAAACAAGGAGAAATGCAAACTACTAGAGTTGTTAGGTAAATACAAACTTGCCCCAAATTTATAGTTTGCCTTTATTGTATGCTATTGATTTAGACACATACATCAAACGGAAATGGCAGAAACGGAACAGTCGGAAGGAGGAGGGGAGGGCACATACAGTGTGGATGATAGAGGTGCAAGAAAACAATTATTCAAAAAAAGAAGTACTTCATCAACATGTGCTGTATGAATCCAAAATTATTATAGTAAGCCCTAAACAAACTCAAACAAAAGTCATATTTCTAGAGTCTTCTAGAGACTGAAGGAGAGGATACATCTAAAATAAGTCAAAGTCCTTTAAGTAATGTTCGTAAGAAACATTATATACTTACTCCTAGACAAAGTGAAAAAGCGTTGACTATTACTGAAGAATCAACATCAAACTCTAAGACAAAATCCAAACTAAGTAGTTTAGGTGATGTTTAGTTCCATCAATTACATTAAATATTCTAATAATAAATTTATTTTTCAGTTAATTGGTTTAAACGTGAAGTGGATTCAGGAGATAATCAAGATCACGATAGTAGTGAATCTGCTACAGATTTATCAAACATAATCAAGCAGTCTGTGAAAACATCTACACAAAAGTCAACATTTAAAAAGAAGTATTTTCTTTACGGTTGTAGTAATATCTAACTTAAATTTGATTAAATTACTCTTTCAGATATGTTGGGAAAAAATTGCAAAAAGCTAAACGTAGGATGGAAGATAGAATTACAAAATTGGTTTTCAAAAAGGGAAAGAAGAAAAATGGTAATTCAGAAGAAACACCTGGTGGTTGTAAGTAAATATTACTAATTCAACTTAAACGGTAATAAAATTTTGTTTATTGTATTTGAAGACCTCAGCCGACGAAATTCTCTCGAAATGGGCGACACTTCAAGAGAATCAGAGTTTGTTGTTTTGAAAGAAAGAAAATTAGTTTCTACGCAACCAATTTTATTGGGAATGAATAGATTTTCGTTTCTACTTGAAGTATGTCCTCCGGGATCCGTCCCAGATGCTCATTTATTGGCTGCTATATTAGATTTGGTAAGATAAGCTTTATGAAATCAACAAAGTTATTGTCAATAATAAATTTACACTTACGTTTGTTAGGCTCCGACCAAGGGTGCGCTAATTTGAAAATTAATGACTTCTATAATTTTGCCTCTCAGTTTTTTTTTTAGAAAAAGCTTTCTCTTCGTTAGCAAATTCAACTTAAAACGTTTCCTACTTCCAAATTTATCTTTTCAGCTTCAATTGTTAGTTAAAGGTCAACCAAAAAAATATATAGTCAACCGATATTTTGCACTACCCTATCAATTTATCATCCCATCAAATATTCAATAAAAAAAAACTTATTGTGCAATACAATTTAGAAGTTGATAGAAGATAGCTTTATTGAAAACATTATCTTTTGTACAGCGTTCTTCAAACTAAATGGTACATTAGATGTTTTCTAAACTAAACTAATAATAATAAACTCAATAATTTTAACATCACTAAGTACATAGTTATAAAACAAAGTCGCTTTCCCGC